AACATCAATATCTCAAGAACCAGTAATTGGATTTGGATGATTTTAGGCTTGTTAGAATCGTCTCACTGAGGTGAACATTTTGGTAATAAAATCATCAAAAGCAAATTGGTATCAAAAGTTATTTATAATTAGAAAAATGTCAAATTACATATATTTTAGTATGAAAATACAAATTAGCGCATACGAAAGTGAGATATGATCTAATTTTTTATTAACTAGGAAAACGGGATCCGTTGGCGTCGCTTCACTTCGAATAATGTTGTCATGTGAATAAATATTAAAGTTATTTTTTTTTAACATGACATTTCACGTGATTAGCCGAGTACCATAGTAAAAAAAAAATTTGCTATGTTAAAAGGTCATTAATCATTTAAGGCCATTTAAGGTCATCGGTCAACACTGGCAACGAGAGTTTTTACTAGTAAATTTGCTATATCGATAAAATTTTAGATTGATATTGGTCGTTACTTCACTACTTCGAAGTTTTAATTCGTACTTTACTAATCGAAAGTTCATATAATGAGGTGATTCGCATAATGTTGTATGCGCCAATATCACGTGTTGATACCAAATTAATAGGTGAACACGTTTACGGGTTTGTAGAACCATTAGACTGAATATAAATGTTTCCCTATTCAAAATGTTGATTTCTTAATTCTGCAATTTGAGAATTCCGAGATTTTCAAAACTTTAATAATTATTATTAAACTTTATCTTTTATACATTAAATATATATTAAACATGATACATTTAGTACCTTTAAATGTACCTTTTATAAGACGACGTCAGACAACGGTCGTTATTTTGTGGATTATTTCTTTACCTGCTACTTTATGCCTTTTTTTTATATTATGTACTACAATTTTCTTTTGGCCTTGGATAATTGCATATTCTTTATTTGCATTATTCGATATTGCTCCTGAAAATGGTGGTCGAAGATTTTCTTTTGCTAGGAAAGCAGCTTTTTGGAAATGGTATGCTGATTATTTCCCAATAACATTAATTAAGGTAATAAATTAAATATTTTTCCATTAATTTTTGTACAACTTAAAAATTTTTCTTCCCTGATTATCTTTTTTTTTTGTCAATAATATTAGGAAGTAGATCTAGATCCATCAAAAAATTATATATTCGGTAAGCTTGAATTACTCATTATAATAATTAAAGTTATGTAATAAAAATTTTTTTTTTTTTTTCATTATTAGGTTATCATCCACATGGTGTAATATCTGTTGGTGCTTGGACAAATTTTGCTACAGAAGCTAATGATTTTTCGAAAAAATTTCCTGGAATTACATGTCGTTTATTAACTCTTGCATCAAATTTTAATATTCCTCTTTATCGAGAATATTTAATGGCTCATGGATGTGCATCAGTATCACGTCAATCTTGTGAAAATATTTTAAAAAAAGGACCAGGAAATTCTATTTTAATTGTTGTTGGTGGTGCTGGTGAAAGTTTAAATGCACGTCCTGGAGTTTATGATTTAGTTTTAAAGAGGAGATTAGGATTTATAAAGTTGGCTATTCGTCATGGGTAAGATAACTATTGAAAAGTGATTATTATTATTTATTTGTTTTATCATTATTATTATTTATTTCCTGTGAGCCCTTTGTTATTACTTTCAAACTTCTCATAGGAAATAAATGAATAATTCCCTACTTTACATTGTTAATGATTAAGGTTGCCTGCCGTAATAGGTTTACTAGAGTTGGAAGGTTGCAACCTTTAATCTCAAAGTTTTTGCCATAATAGGTGTAAAAGTTGTAATAGGTGTAATAGTCGTAATAGGTGCAATAGTTGTAATGGTTGTAATGGGTGTAATGGTTGTAATGGTTGTAATGGGCATAATGATCTGATTAACAAGTAATTGCGTGACGCAATCATGCTTATTAATGAGATTTCAGTGATTTTAAAAATTTGTAATCATATCGATATAGATTATTAAGAAATTAAAGAATGTCAGATATGAATTGCTAATTCCAAAACAAGTACGCCAAATAACCATGTGCATTGACAGTAAACCATGGCATGCCCAAATCTACAGTATATTACAACGCACCTCTCCGTATTAAGAGTACTTTCAAAAGAAAACCAAGTTTTGATCTTTCGAGTTTATAACTTAACGAACTCAACCTCTGGAAAATTTGATTGTCGATATAGAATATAATAATTAAATTTAGTTACGTATTTATATTTTTAGAGGCTGAGTCATTAAGTTATAAACTTTAAAACCCAAAATCCATTTTTCTTCTGATGACATTTAAATGCAAACATTTGAAGATTATTAATTTAAAAATTTTTAAAGTAAAAGAGTCGATTTTCATTATCTATAATTAAATTTGATAAGCTATTACACCTCTGTAAGGACGTGCAAGACACAATTACTTATATTTTTACGATAATTACAACCTATTATGGCATTTACAACGATTATGACAATTAAAATCATTACGGCATTACGACTGTTATAACCATTACGGCATATTTATAACTTTGAGTATTAGGATTGCAACCCAGGTTATAATTCGTAATGTCCATAATTATTACTTACGGCCAGCAACCTTATTAATGACTACTTTCATTATAGTATTCACGTGACGTTGTTATCAGGGTCATGATATGATGGTATGAAAAATTATAATGAAAGTATCATTGATAAAAATTAGTAAGTCAGGGGATTATTGTATTAATATTAATGAATTTATTTTTATTTTAAAATTTTTATTTAAAATAGATCATGTTTATGTCCAGTATTTTCATTTGGAGAAAATGATATATGGGAACAAGCTGATAATCCCAAAGGTAGTAAAGTTTGGAAATTTCAAAAGACATTACAAAAATTATCTGGTTGGACAATGCCTCTATTTCATGGTCGTGGTGTATTTAATTGTATGTTACTATATCTGATATTTTAATTTATTATTGGGTTAGATTTTTGATATATATATATATATATATATATTTTTTAAAAAAAAAAAATTAATTCACTTTTTTCTTTTTCATTAGACAATCTTGGAATTCTTCCACATAGAAGGCCTATTACTACAATTGGTAAGATTTAATTTTTTTTAAAGTATGTAAATGATGTATACTATTAATTCATATCTCTAACATTTTCTTTTTACTTATTATGTTGATGAATTTATTTAATTCTATGGGATTCTATGAATTTTATAAATTTTTATGATTAATAATTTATTAAATAAACTGATAGTCGGAAGACCCATTGAAGTTACAAAAATCGAAAATCCAACTGAAGCAGATTTGCTTGAAGTACAAAAGAAATATATTGACGAATTATTTAATATTTGGAATACATACAAAGATAAATATGCTAAAAATAGAGTTAGTGAATTAACTCTTATAGAATAAATGGTTAAATGGTAAAAGTTATATATATATATATATTTTGGCGGGATTTAACAAAGGGTTATTATAATAACAAGGTTTGCATGGGAATGGATGCGGTTGTTGTGAGTGTTAGTGTAGAATTAAGTTTTAGTGTCAAAATTAAAATGAAATTGTAAAATGTGCTATTCATATAAAATAATATTCTTGATCCATTTAAATAATTAAATAATGTATATCGGTTAAAAAAAATACGTACATATATAATAGTTAGCGTTAAGTGTTATAATTTTGCGTGTCAATAAAGCAGACTATATCGATATATTTTAGCTCTACTCATATCCAATTAAACAAGGTGGCACGAATTTTTCGATAACAAATTGCATGTCTTAATCAAAAAGCTTCGTATAACAAAGCTTATAGATTAATAAATATACACAAAAGTAGGAATGGATAAGTCCTTTAAGGATCCCCGATCCTGAGACCAGTTCGGACCAATCTTTATTAATAGTTAAAAACTGCCAATTAATAAGTAAGTAACAAAGGACTATTTTTGGAACCGAGACTGAACTGTAAAACCGGCCTATTTTCACAAATTAACAAGTTTATTATTTAAAAGATTATTTATATTAACTTTAAACATGATGAAGTTACAAAATTTTAACACACAAATTCGAAAGAGTTTTTAATAGAAATTTATCAGTTATGTGAATTTTTATATAATTTTTATATTAATAACTATGTATTAAATTTGAAAAAAAACCTGTGTTGATAAAAAAAAAATCATTCATTAATACCGATATTAATTAACACATTTTATTATTAAAAAAAAAAAAAATATTAATAATCACTAATAATGTACATAATAATAAAAAAGAAATTACGGGTTCAAAAGATTATTAATTAAGATATATGGAATCAGTATTATTTTGACCACCACCTTGATCAGTATAATTATTATGTCTATGTTGTCCTCTCATTCCTTGATATCTAGTAGGTAAAGTATCAGGGCCAGGACCAGGATTCATATTATTACTTTGAGGAAATCTATTATTACTACCACCACTACGACCTGATATTGCAGAAGATACAGAAGGAGTTCTTGAATGTTGTTGTTTTAATATTAATTGTGAACTTTGATAATTTGAACCATTAGAATCATTACGATAATGTCCTTTAATTGGTGCACTATATGATTGATCATTATTATTATAATTAGCTTTAATATTTTCATCAGATGATTCTATTTTAATTGAAGTTTGATTTTGGTTTGAAGTTAAACTTTCGTAACTAGTTTTTGGAGCATTAGAAGTTCCTGTTCTAGTAAGTGCAGAATATTGAGTCCTATTTTGGTATTGATGATTTGATCCTAATGGATATGCATTAGCGGTATATTCAGAAGAATTATTACCAACAAGAGTTCCAGTTCTCGATGGACCAAAATCAGGAGTACCAGTTCTTTGAGGACCATAATTGAGAGTTCCAGCTCTTGGTATAACATTACCAGGAGTCCCAATACGTGGTGGACCATAACCTGGAGTGCCAACACGTGGAGGGCCATAACCAGGAGTTCCAACTCTTGGAGGACCATAATTTGGAGTTCCAACTCTCGGAGGACCATAATTTGGAGTTCCAACTCTCGGAGGACCATAATTTGGAGTTCCGACTCTCTGAGGACCATAATTTGGAGTTCCAACTCTCGGAGGACCATAATTTAGTGTTCCCACTCTTGAAGGGGCATTTTCAGGAGTTCTAGATCTTGGTGGACCATATTCGGGAGTTTTGGATCTTGGTGGACCATATTCGGGAGTTTTGGATCTTGGTGGACCATATTCGGGAGTTTTGGATCTTGGTGGACCATATTCAGGAGTTCTGGATCTTGGTGGACCATATTCAGGAGTTCCAACCCTTGGTGGACCATGATCAGGAGTTCCAACCCTTGGTGGACCATAATCAGGAGTACCAACTCTAGATGGACCATAATCAGGAGTTCCTGTTCTAGGAGGACCATAATCAGGAGTTCCAGTTCTCGAAGGAACAGCTAAACCTGGAGTTCCAACTCTTTGAGGAGGAGCTAGAGAACCAGCCCTTGACAAAGCATATGAAGGCGGAACCGATAATGAATCATCAAGGAAACCGACAGTTGGCAAGGTTGGTTGACGAAAAGATTTTATATCTGCATTTTTTTTCTTGCCAATATGAATATATTCTCCACTAGATTTTGCTTCTGCTTCTAATTGTTGTTTTTTAATACGTTTTAGAGTTTGCGCTTTTAAAAGCTCAGTAATCCTTTTTAATTTATATATAATATTTTTTTTTTTTTCAAAAAAAAAATTGGTAAATTTATCACATTCATTCAATTATTCATTCATTTTCACCCACATATTACAAAGAGTTATTACCTTTTATCAATCTTATAACAACAATATTCTTTTAAATTTCCTCTGATATGACACAACAATGGAATATATAAAATAGCTGCAGCAACAATCTTAATAAATGAAAATATAGAAAGGAAGATAGAAACAGCCATTGTTGCCATAGCAAGAGAATGAACCATGTCACCATAAGCGCTAAAACTAAGATATTCTTTTGATTTATTTATTTGAATAAGGTAATATAAGGTAATGCCATTAATAACCTGGCGTGGAGCTTCAGCAAAGACAAGACGTTTCCAACCTATATAATGAAAATAAAATTGTAAAAAATATATTTTTTTTTTTACAAAATAAATATTCATAAAAAAATTCGTTAAAATGTTTTTTTTTTTACCTTTAAATGCAAAGAACACAAAGAATGCGATCCTATCTACAGGCTTTTGATAATTATTAATTTTACTGAAAAAGCAAAAATGAGCATAACTTTTCAAAGTATAAGTTCTATAGGCTACAATATTGGTAAATGCGAATGATATATATCTCGATTTCATGATAGCTATAGCTTTTCTAATATCCCAAGCCAAAAGTAAAAATGAAGCGAAAATACATCCGATATAAATCCATTTTGAGATAGAAAATGGAATTTTAGGTTGTATAGATGACCCCCAACGATCAAAAATAAGTAAAAGTGCAGCAGTCCATATATCAGCAACGTAAAGTAGAACGGATTTTAATACGAAAATAAAGACAAATGAATATGTTATTCTTCCTATTATTTTCCCTGCAGTAGTTTTTTCTTTAAATTCCTCCAAGTCAACAAAATCAAATTTATGATTTTGAATTTTATCATTCTTAATTTCTTCCTTCCATTTTGGTGCTGAACAGCACATTTTTTTTTTTCCTTTAAAAATAAAAAAAAACGTTTATGGTATATATATATATACAAAATTTTCCGCGAGAGTAGTAAATTAAAATAATTAATTGGTTTTGTTTTCTTATGGATTATTTGGTACGATCATTTATCGTATTAGAAATTTATCGAGTTTATATGATATATATCGTAGAGTGAGAAATGTCTATGTAGGTTATATGAAGAACTTGGCATTAAGTCATTTTAAGTATATAATCGAAGAATGAGAATAAATAATAAGTTGTAGATTTTGAGAAAAATTCAGATTTCTCGGAAAAATAACGAAATATAAGGATATATAATCAAAGATAAAATGAATGAATGAAAAAGTAATGTAAAAAGAATGAAAATGTTTGAATGACGATAGTAGGAAAAGAGAGTAAACGAAGTAATATTATTGAGTTGGTTTGATTGTTTTAATAGTTGACTAAAATGGGAATTTTGAATTTGTTGATCATTTTTAATGTTGTATTACTCTACTTTCTTATTTTATTCGTTTATTTCTAATTTTTAAGATGCAGGTAATTTCTTTCATAAAAATGTAAGACCTACCTAATATTAGACGGTTCGCAGTTAATGAGGAGTCGTGTAAATTGATATGCAACTATTTCATTTTGTGTACGCCTAACCTTTTATTATAACATCCGATATTCCTTTAACTAGACTAGTTTCATATTAAAAATTATATATATATATAATATCTACTTTTGGTGAATAAACAGTTTATTCGTGACCTCATCTTGAAACGATATATATATTATTTTAAACAAGTACAAACAAATATTAGCCATCAACTTACGTACGTATAAATTCTTAATACGTATATCAGATATCGATATTTCCATATTCGTTACATTAACACAATTAATTTTAATACGTACGTATAATTAAGAAATTATTAATCTTCAACTCGATATACATAATATTCACTCTCGTTATAAGTATAAATTTGGTTTTTTCTCAGTCCAATAATTTTACTACGTACGTATTATATATTAACGAGAATCATTTGTTAAGATTCTAAATATTGATATACGGTAGTTTCTCAATTTACTTAATAACACTTTAATGATTATTTTTAGTAATTATTTACATTTTAAATTTTCTTCGGTTTCAAAACTTTGATTATTTGTATATTTCTTAATTAGCATCGATTATACATTGTTAGATATTGACTTTATCATTTGATTTTCTAATACTAACGCTAATAACAAAAATATTAAAAATGTCGTTACAGTGAGTTGTACTGACACATTATATTAAAATTTGAATAAAAGTGTCGGTATCGGGGCACAAAATTTCCGAATGCCGGAAGCTGCTTTTTCTCCAGCGGTGTTTATTTTACAGCTGTTTTCATAAATTCTGGGACATCAGGCAAAAAATGGTCCGAACAAATATTGCCGGTTCGATAAGTTTGTGATTCGGCAGTGATAAACTTTTGATTTGGATGTGAATTACAGTAATTCACATCCAAATCAAAAGTTTATCACTGCCGAATCACAAACTTATCGAACCGGCAATATTTGTTCGGACTATTTTTTGCCAGATGTCCCAGAATTTATGAAAACAGCTGTAAAATTCTGACGTAATTACTACGTAGAGGTAGTTTGATTAGTGATTATCACTATCGCTATAGTATGAACTTCTAATTTACCCCCAACTTCTACTAATTATTCACTTAGCGGAGTATTTATACTATCAATCAAATTTTATGTACTCCGACAGTGAAGTTGGGGAAAAATTAGGGCAACCCTAATTTTTCTTGTCATATGATTTTTAGAACGTAGAGTATCGTGATTTAAAATAAAATGGAACAATAATTATACTAGATTTCCATTAACTTTTGGAAACTTTCAATTGTAATACCGTAATAAGATCAGTGTTCAAAATTTCTAAATGCCGAAAGCTGCTTTTTCTCCGGCAGTGTCTATTTTAACCGGAACTTAGAAAACTCGACCGGATGTAGCAATTTTTTATATCAAGATTTATATTAATACACGTAAATATGATATACGGAAAAGTAAAATTAGATTACGTATTTAGGCCAGACCAATTTGATTCTCCGTTTAACATACCCCCCCCCCCTTATTTTTTCATATAATTTAGGCCAGAACCAAAAAATTTTTATAATTTTGGCCAGAATTATATTTTTGTGTATTTTATTTAATATTTTAGCCAATCATATGCAGTCCCCCTCTAGATTTTGACTTGAATGTTATTCTGGCCTTACTAATCTAAATTTAGAATATGAAATTAATTTGGGATTTCATTTAATTGAAAAAAATTAGGAACTAACAAATAATTACAAAACTTTAGAATAAATAGTTACACAAACTAATAAACATTACAAAATATATCGATATATTGTTTAAAGCCACGAATGGTAGTTCAGCCGAAAGATCAAGTGCTCAGTTAGAGCAACACTTCAAAACATCAGATGCTTTGTCACACCTATTATGAATATGAAGGGCTCAGCCCTGGGGTTTGAAGCCATCACATTTTGAAATACGGTAGTTTAATTGAAACAGTCTCCCCTGTTCTAACCGGGTCACGGTTTTTGACCCCGATTAATAAACACACGTAATTAATTTATTTCACGTTATATTTTATCAAATCTCACTAGAAAGAAATTTAATTTAAAATAGTATTGAATTGCCAGAAACAAACAACTAAAGAGGCTATCAAAGATGCTCAGTGTAGTTTTGTTCTTGAAAAGCCTTATACCTACCGTTTATATTAAGTCTAGTAATAAAGGTCCGAGTTAAATAGCAGATAAATAAATGCTGGTGTTTGATTAATAATATAGCATAGTCGAAGCTATAAAGATTGCGTAGTGTAGAGAAATGTAAAACGATACATTCGTATAATGGAATACTTGCGAATTAAATATTATAGAACCGGGTCACCCGCTTTACTTTAATGACCCGGGTAATGATTTTTTATCCGAGTGGGTAACCCGGAGCTCAAATTTTAAATGGGTCTAATCTCTACACAAAGCTCTTAAGTAATGCTTGTTTTATGTTTCAAAAATAATAAAACAGTGGCAGAAGACAAATTGTAGTGTACAAAATTTTAATTTACTTAGAAAAAAGAAAATAGACAACAAATACAAAAGATTTATAACTAATTTTTATTATCATCAAATTTTTCTGCCACCGTATATAATTCAAACATAATATTAAAATTCAGAAGAAATATTAATATCTTTTCTACTAAACTTTTTTTCACCATATCATTAATATATTTAAACATATTATTATAATCATTTAAATCTTCTTCATCAATTCCAGAATAAACTTTAATATAAAATTACATTCATGCGTAAAACTTTTATAATTGCTTTAAAAATTGGTTCAGAATCAAATTCATAAATCGAAAGATCCAAAGAAGTTAATGATGAATTTCTTTGAAGTACCCGCGCAAATGCTATTCTTCCATATAGACAATTTCTAATGATATTTAACAAGGTAACAGTTGAAATTTCGCAAAGAGACTCTGCTAACTCCTCTATTGAATCAAGGTCAAGCATGTTAGCAGAAAGATCTAGAGACTTAAGGCCAATATTAATACAAAGAGCGTCCGCGAATGCTTTCCCTTCTTCAGTGCAAAGGCTATTATGTCTCAGATTCAAAGAGCTAAGCGAAATATTTTTGTAAAAAGCCTCAGCCAATGCTTTTACTCCTATTACCAATTCGATTAGTAGAAAGATCTAAAGAAGTGAGTGTTGTATTTTTACAAAGAGCTTCTGCCAATAATATTCCTCTTTCCGAACTGATTTTATTGCAAAAAATATCTAAAGAAGTAAGAGATGTGTTTTTACAAAGAGCTTCTGTTAATATCATTGCTCTCTTATTGCAAGGTTGATTATGATAATGATCCAAACAGCTAAGAGTAGAATTTTTGCTAAGAACCTTTACTAATAAATTTTAAGCCTTCAAAACTAATTTGATTACCATTAAGATATAAATGAGTCAGAGAAGTATGTTTACAAAGCGAATCAGCCAAAATTTTTGCACCTTTAACCAGAATTATATTATTACCAATATTCAAAGAGGTAATTGTAAAGTGCACTTGAAATAACTTTTGATCTTTCAACGCCAAGCTGATTATCACTAAAATCCGATATAGTCAAAGGGATATTTTCGTTAAGTGCCTCTGCAATAGGGATGGGCCACTGCGCAGAATTTTTGAGAGGCTGCGCAGTGTGATTTTTAAAATTCAGGCTAGCTGGTGTAATTCTGGCCAGCTGGCATAATTCTGGCCAACTGAAATAGAATTATATCTCTGCTATATGTTATGCGCATTTCATGCGCAGGCTGCGCAGCCTGCGCAGAAAATTTGAAAAATTCACGATTTGCCCATCCCTTATCATGACAGATTTCATAATGGCCGATTTCTTTCCATAAAACCACGATATCATTACAGATTAAAATGGCGCGTGCGATAACATTGAGCTGTCGATTATTTTTGTGTCCGTCTTTAGAAGGATATTCTCAATAAAATTCTTTTCATTTCTTGGTGGGAGCGGAATGAATTTGAAATAATATCAGATCTTTAATTTGGCCTATATTTTTTACCCTACAGCGAAGCGTAGTGGATCGTATAAGATCTAACTGATAAAAAGTGAAATAACTCCATATCATTGCCTTTTAAGCATAGAGTATGAATATATATGTCTGATGCTGCTTTTAATAAAAACATATAAAC